TGAAGATCCAGGACCCAAGTCCAAGGACTTGGTTCCCTTCAGTTGGCATGGAATGCCAGCTGAATTCTTTGAGGAGGTGCTGCACTCCACAAGCCTGACATTGAGTGACTTTTGCAGCTTGCATTTCGTCTTTCTCATTTCTAATTTCTTCTTCCTTCGGTTGACCTTTCGATTTGTGAATTCTTCTTCTTGTTTTGCATCCTGCGACGATCGCTACGTTCACATCTACTCGGGCGGTGCGTGTTGCCAATATCATCTTTTAGGGGCTACTGCTCCTGCTGCTGTTCCTGTTATCAACACTCCTTCTACTTCTAGTCGTACAAAAGCTGCTACTCCTCCTCACCTCCTCCACCTGCTACGGCGACGGCGGCTGCCACTGCGGCTGCGACTGCTACCGCTGGCGCTGCCGCTGCTACCGCTACTGCCGCTACTGCTACTGCCGCTGCTGCTTCTGCTGCAACAACCACAGCTACAAAACTCTGCTCGTGTTGTCATCTGAAGCCACGGTCCTGCAGAAGTTTTAACTCAGATGCTTTGCAGTGATGCTGCCTGCGATCGTTGAGCTTCACCCTCAGCTCCAAATCCTTTCTCTCTCGTCAATCCCGAACCTCGAGCGCTAAAGCCTATGCGGCATATGCACCAAAGCAACCCTGAAGCCAAAGTAGAATCTTAAAGCCCTCACTAGAACCCTTGAAGCCAAACTAGGATCTTAAAGCTCTGGCTTTTGCAGGCTCCTTGTGTGCATCATGGGGAAGACTGTTTGCCAAAGCCCCAAACTTTCGTCGCAAGGCTATACCAAACCCTAAACCCAAACCTTCGTATCAAGGCTGATCTTACCAGCTGGCGGCTTTTTCGCCACAGCTGGGAGCCTGGTTTTTGGTGCCAGAGTTCGTGGAAGCTGCAGCCGGTTGGAGTTCAGGGTTTAGGGTTCAGGGTTTCAATGTGCAGGCTGACCCTAAACCCTAAACCCTAAATCCTAAACCCTAAACCCTAAATCCTAAACCCTAAACCCTAAATCCTAAACCCTCTGATCCGATCCATGTTGGTATTTCCCGGGGGTAGCTGATATTTTCGCCTTTTTGGGCCCCCGTCCCCCGGTGGCCCTTCGGATGAGGAGGGCCGCGAAACCCGAGCCTAGCAGCGGTTCAATGGCCGCCTTCTGCTCAAGGTAGGTTAGGTTTAGGGGTTTAGGGTTTAGGGTTTAGGGTTTAGTGTTTAGGGTTTAGGGTTTAGGGTTTAGGGTTTAGGGTTTAGGGCTTTTTGGTTGCTGCCTGTGACTGATCATTGCCATCAAAGCGGTCGCTGACTCTTGCCTTCCAACATGGCCACCGATGTGGGGCATCGTGCTGCGGGCACCGATCCGCTCTCCAACTCCGACAGAGACGCCGCCGTCTCGCTTTTAACGCGTGCCTTCCGCATCGGGGAGGCGGTCGGCATCGGCGGGACATGCCGAGGAACATGGTGTCCTCACGCCTGAACTGGACGATGGCTCTGCGGAGACCGACCCGGTGGTGCTCTTCGAGCTGGAAATGTTATCCACCGTCGCTCCTGCCCCGCAGGGGCCGCCCCCGCCCTATCCAGTCAATTTTCGGGGGAACTATCAGACGGGAATCTCTTCCTTGGAGCAATGGGAGCTCGCCATTCTCTCTTATGGCGCATTGGGGCATCAGCGGCCAACTTATTCTCAGGTTGTGCTGTCGGCAGATGGACGAATGCAAGCCTTTGTCCGCAGCAGCCTAGTACCCTGCAACCCCAATAGGGTTCAGCCATCATGTCAAAAAACAGTAAAATCTTTTGAACTCTTCTGAATGCATCTAGCCCTGCCAGAGGACTTGCGGAGAACGCTTCTTGATCCCAAGACCAATCTTGCATGAGTCACACAGAGAGCTTCAGGAGGTGCAGCCTGTGTTTAGGGCCGCAGACAGCCCAACTTGGAAGTTTCAGATAATAAGGGGCCCAAATATGTAGCATAAATAGGAGGACCCTTATTGGACGGAAGCCCCTATATTCCTGAAGCCTCTATAGAGAGCACTTACGAAGAAGAGGGTTTTGACAGGTTTTGGGGTTCACTGGACAGCCTCACGGCCCCCCAAACCCTAAGCCCTCAACCCAAGCCCAAAACCCCAAAGCCCAAACCTCTAAACTCTAATCCCTGAACCCTAAACTCTAAGCCCCAAACGCCTAAATCTTCATCCCCCTAGCCAACAGGCGCTTCTAGTGCTTCTCCGCCGGGAGAAAGGCTCTCCTCTCTCCGCACGTTTAGAGTTTGAGGTTTGGGGTTCAAGGTTCAGGAGTTAAGGGTTGCGGGTCACGGGGTTAGGGGTTAGGGGTTCAGTGTTCAGGGTGTTAGGGGTTGGTGTTCAGGGTTTAGGGTTTGGTGTTTGGGGTTTAGGGTTTGGGGTACGAACCTTGACGACTGGGATCTGCACGCAGAGACAGGAGATGCGCAAACAGATATTTGTGAAGCGGAAAGGGGTGTGGGAGTGTAACACAGTGGCCGAAATAATTACCTGTACTACTTTGGGGGTTCCTGATTATATACTTATGGTCCGGTAGAACATACCCCAGAACCCTAATTATTCTAATCATTAGGGCCCCTATCGTCTGGGGTGTTTCCGCGCATCAGGGGAGCGATCGAACCTTGTTGATCGGGACAACTTTCGACCGCAGGGTTTTGGGCCAACTCTAAAAGCCCTTAACCCGAATTCCTAAACCGTATATATACACCTTCAGCACCGATCCTTAGTCCCTAAACCCGAAACCCTGAATCCTAAGCCTTACACCCTTGATGACCTCAGCGTGCTCCTCCCTATCTCCAAGCCTCCCCCGGACGCCAGGGACAAGCGTAGTGTTCTCAGCCGGTTGACGGATAGGGGGGGGCAGGGTTTCAGACTGTGGCGGTTTTGGGGTTTAGGGTCCAGGGTTTACCCTAAACCCTAAACCCTAAGCCCTAGAACCCTAAACCCTAAACCCTAAACTCTAAACCCTAAACCCTAAGATTTAAAGGTTTAGGGTTCAGGTTTAGGATGCTAGGGTTCGTATATGGCTCAGGGTTAGGGGTCAAGTTTAAGCCATCTTTGTCAAAAGCAGCCGGTGTTCCCGCAGCCACCACAAGGGAAGGGTATGTCCCGAAGTCTTGATAACCCCTAAGCCCTATACCCCAAAAGCCTTATATGGGAGTTTCCGAAAACGGGGACCCATATATAGTACCGTAAATAGTAGGGTCCTTATCATAAGGAGCTCAAAATAAGGTACCCAAATTTTCGGAAGCTTCCATATCCCTCAGCCTGAGCGCCTCTTGAAACCAGACAAACAACCCAAGTGGCCTCGTTGCAAGAAGCCTCGCACATAGAATTTTGAGCGCCCTGACACCTCAAACACCACCACCCCATGCGAACTCTATTGAAACGCAGGGAGGGAGCAATGGACGTCCAACCGACCAAAACAGACCGAGACCTCAGCCACGCTATGCGGGTAGGAGCCGTGTACGGCCTCCCAGGCACAAGCTGCTTCACCCCGCATCGAGTCCGAAACCCTGAGCCCTGAAACTTAAGAGCCGGATAGAAAGCGGCAAAACCCTACCCTCAACCCTAAACCCTAAACCCTCAACCCAAAACCCAAAACCCTCGGAAGCCTAAGCCGCCATGGCTGAGCCAATGGTGGAAGAAGATTCCCCGGAGTGCGTAGAGTCACCAAGGCCTCGCTCGTCTAGGGATGTGGGTTTGGGGTTTAGAGTTTGGGGGTAGGGATTAGAGTTTGGGGTTTAAGATTTAATGTTTAGGGATTGGGGTTTACGGCTCAGGAATGGGGGATTACGGTTTGGGGTTTGAGGTTTCGGGTTTAGGAATTACTTTAACCTACCAAAACTTACAAAAAAGTAGGGTCCCTATAAATTCCATATTAGGGTTTAGAATAAGAACCTACAAAAAGTAGGGTTTGGTAGGTTAAGGTAGGGTTTAGGGTTTAGGGCCAAGTCTCCGGACTCAGGGCTGATTGGGTGAAAAGGGACATGTTCCATAGAGGTTGAGGGTTTAAGGCAGGATCCTTTATGATTACCAATGTCATTCCTTGCAGCCCCTTGTTGTTATTGTTACTATAGTTGTTTTTCTGAGACAACTGATTCATGCAGCGGGGCCCAAAACCCTCTTTTCATTATTAAGGCCTCTACATGGACGGGCAGGGGACTTAGTAAGTAGGTTATAAGTAGGGCTATAATTGGGGTAACTCCATTTAGGGTACTTATAACTCTACTTATATCCTACTTACTAAGTCCCCTGCCCCTCCAAGTACATGACGCTGTTTCGGGTTAAGGGCTCAGGAGGAGCCCACATAGCCTCAAAAACCCGGATATTCAAGGAATTTCTGACGTAAGACTAACCGGAAATCTTGAATATGGTTGATGACTAGGATGCCCAGGAGTACATGCTAAGGTCCCCTAGTCTTCTGAAACAGAAATGTACCCGGTTGCAAGTCCTTCATGCCTCCAATCGGAGGTTTGCACCCTCGACACTGCTAAACCCTAGAACCCAAAACCTGGAACGTCCCAAACCCAAAGCATTTGAAGCCCGTTAGGCAAAGGAGCAACTCCCGTAGGGGGTCTTTATAAGGCGTTTTTGGGGTGTCTGGAGCAGAGGTCTGGGGTATGTTAGACTTTAAACAGAACAAGGAACCCTAGCAAATAGTATTGGGCGTTCATACCATACGGGTTCAGACGCTGTTATTTGTGTTCATGATACCTTATGTAAGGGTCATTCCTGAAGGACTCCTATACGCTTTAATTGAAGCAGCAGAGTGTTTGAAGCTGTGTTTGGCATGTGGGTTTGACGGCGTTGCTGGCTTTCCTAACTAAACCCTAAACCCTCAGGGCAAAGGGTTCTGGCTTAGAAGGCCCTGCCTTTCGCACCTCATAAGCTTATTTTTGCAGCAAGCAGGTGGTTCAAAAAGTTGAGGTGAAAATCACCATCAGCTCACTCTTCCCGCATCCCGTTGGTACCAAAGCCATGGAGCCTGTTGTCATGATGAAGCGCGGCAGCATGTTGCCGGCATCGGTTGTGGAGGAGATTGGGTTGAGGGTTTATCGGTGCAGTGCCCCTGGTTGCTCCGGCTAATTAGGATTGCTGCAAGTTTTCGCCAACTTTCCTTCGCCCACCTTTCCGTACACCGCCCAAGCATTTCAATCCCAAAACAAGAGCACCCGAAAAGCAACCCTAGATCCCGCATGTATCCAAATGGTATATGAAACCCTATAGTAACGCCTATAGTAATCCTTATAGGCCCCCATAAATGAACCCGTAAAGGAACCCTAGGAACCATAGTATAGGTAGCTATTTAGGCCCCTATAGTACTTAAAGTCGCCTTGCCCCATGCAGCTATGGCCTAACAGACAAGAAGAGAGCGCCTTTTCCGCGGTGTAGGGATTTAGGGTCTAGGGGTTTAGGGGTTTAGGGGTTTAGGGTTTAGGGAGTTTGCTTTGCAGGAGATATTGGCCTCTGCTGCCGCCGCGAGCGCAGAGGCACCCAATCGAGCCCTGAAGCGACGCGTCCCTGGGACCTTACCATAGAAGCTTAGATAGTGAACGGGGGAACTTTAAACTTTTTGGCCTTATACTTTAGCTCTAACTCTATGTTAAGAACTTTGAACTTTTCGGGGCCCGGTTGCAGAAGAAGACAAATGGGGACCCATAATGAATAATATGGTTTCCTTATGATGACAACTTAAACTAAACCCCCTTTACAAGAGCCCAGGTTCGTCAGCGCCTGCACAAAAAGCTCGGGTCCATGTTACGAGGATGCAGTAAGCATCTGACATTTTTGGGCCTTAGGGGTTGAGAGTTTTGGGGTTTAGGGGTTTAGGGTTTAGGGTTCAGAGTTTTGGGGTTTAGGGTTTAGGGTTTAGGGTTTAGGGTTGAGAGTTTAGGGTTTAGGGTTTAGGGTTTAGGGTTGAGAGTTTTGGGGTTTAGGGGTTCAGGGTTTAGGGGTTTGGGGGCTTAGGGCTTAGGGCTCTGAGTTTTGGGGGTTCGGGCTCAGGGATTTTGAAGTTGGGCTTGGATGCCCGTTCAGTGCTTGCGGATACGACTGAGTAACTGGGGTTATAATTAGAGTAACTATACTTATTACCTCAATTAAGGTATTTATAACCTTACTTACTACGTCCCATGATCCTGCAAGTAGACCCTAGACCCTAAACCCCACAGATCCCTTTAAGGAGCCCTATAGATCCCTTTAAGGAGCCCTTTAAGAACCCTAAACCCAAGCCTAAATTACAAGTACTGTGAAGTTACAGGGTTCTGCCTTCGCAGGTCTTGGGTTGATCCTCGACTCGCATCTCGCTTTGCGGGGTTTAAGGTTTCAGGGTTTCGGTTTTAGGGTTGAGGGTTAAGGTTTTGGGGTCTAGGGTTTAGGGTTGAGGGTGTTCTTGAGCTTAGGGCTCTTGGGATAGAAGATCTGAAATGAGGTCATCCATATCTGAAGCAGGTATCTGGTTGACAGTGTCTAAAGTTTCGCCGGTTGCCTATGGCCCAGAGCACAGGGGGGGTGTTCACAGTGTGCATCGTTGTTTCAATCCCAAGCATTCGACTTGCACAGCTTTCATTATGCGACCAATCTCGAGACCTACCCCGGATGAGGCAGATAGACGCACACACGATAGCTACGGTAAATCATATAAACCCTGCATTGCCTTAACGACCCTAAACTATGGGAATTATGGCACTTTCCTTATTATGGGTAATGCAGGATTTGTATCATCAACCGTACGACTTGTATCCTGCAGGCTAGCACTGTACGACGAGACAGCCCTAAGCCCGAAGCCTGAAACACCAAGCCCAAATCGAGCCCTAATTAGACCCCAAGGCCCTAGCCTTTCAACTGAACCCGCAGACAAAACTGAGCCCTAAACCCTAAGCCCTAAATCTAAGTTTTAACAAAAACCTAAACCAGAAGCCTTGAGCCCTAACCACACCTCGAGAATTGTCCTAACACCCCCGCTCCCCTCCCAAAAAATCGAGACCCATCGGACATTCAGACTGCAAAACCGGAAAATAGGAACAGACGTTAAACCATGGTTCATAACCAAGAAGACTTTAAATCATAATTCATAATCAAGAAGACTCTAAATCATAATTCATAATCAAGAATAGTGGTCCCCTTATAGCGAAACATGGGAACAGACTATAATACATAATCATGAATAGGGGTCCCCTTATAACTTAAGATGCATTATCATATTTTCAGGTGCGTTAAAGAGATAGTCCTTCAAGTCATCACCTGGATGCCGAAAACATCTATGGTCTATGCTTGAAGGGGGGGGGGTTGGGAGCCTTTTGAAACCAGAAAGTTGGAACATCATTATCCACATGCCCTTAAGGTAAAGTATAGAGGATCCTAGCCCTCCCGAAGCCATGTTCCAACTTTCTGGCTTCTACAACAGAGCTTCTCAGGTTAACCTCCGAGGAGTTTGAAAAAGCCATTGACCGCTACCAGGTGTTTGGGCTCGGGAGGGGGGGGGGCTTCGTTTTAAGGGTTCCTTGGGGTTCTTAGGTTGTTCCTTGAAGGGATCCATAAGGGCACGATGGGGTTTGGGTTTCGGGGCCGAGAGGTTTGGGGTTATTTAGGATTTAAGGTGTAGCTCTCGGGGTTTGGGGTTGAGGGTATGGGGTGTACTTGGAGGCCCTGTTGACTTAGTAAGTCTACTTAGTATCCCCTAGAAACCCCATTATAATCCCCATAACCCACCTTACTAACCCTACTTACTAAGTCAAAAGGGCCTCCAAGTAGGGTTTTTGGGTATTGGGTTTGAAGTTTTGGGTTTGGGGTTTAAGGTCAGAGGCTTTGGGTTCTAGGGCTTTGGGTGTAGGGGGCCTAAGAAAAACACGCGACCACACCAAAAAGAGACCTTATAGAACCCTTACAGGAATCCTTAAACAACAATAAATGGCACCCGTGACTTAGCAAAGCCCTTCGCAACAAGCTCGTTCGACGCTTAAAGCGCCTTTCCGCCCTGAGAAGGTGTTGGAAGAGGAGCAAAGCAAAGAGGCCTCTGGGGCGGTGCCTGGGTTCTCTCATAATCACGGAACTTAATTAGTTAAGGGATCTAGAAGGGTTCCTTTAAGGAATCTAAAAGGGCTCGCTTAAGGGATCTAGAAGGGTTCCTTTAAGGAATCTAAAAGGGCTCCCTTAAGGGATCTAGAAGGGTTCCTTTAAGGAATCTAAAAGGGCTCCCTGAAGGGATCTAGAAGGGTTCCTTTTAGGATCTAAAAGAGCTCCCTTAAGGGATCCATAAGGGTTCCTTTATTTTCTAGTAGTCGGGGTGGTAACCTTTTAACCTTGTTTGGGTAGTATAGTCCCTATATAATCCCTATGTAACCAAAAAGGTTAACCTGTAGTTCCCCATGATACCCGACACTTAGGATTTAAGCTGTCATAGCGGGGATCTATAGTAAGTAGCAGGGTTTCCGTATTATGGTAGCTTCTTTCAAGTTACCGCAACATGGATCTGTCGTAAATCACACGATTGTCTGGGTTCCTTACCCAGACGCTCCATGCACACTGCTATCATGGAATTAGGTTAGGTCCCCAAAGACCATCCCTATTTTGTCTTGGGGACCTATGTCCAATGTGGTAGTGGATATGGGAGTTTCCGAAGATGGGGACCCTAGTATGATACCTTAAATCTTATCTAGGGCACTTTAAATCTCAGGATCCTTGTTATGAGGACCTCGAAATAAGTATAGAATCCTTATAGGAGCCCTTTAAGGACCCCTTACAGGATCCCTCTAAAGAATTCCCCTAATTTGCTATGGACCCTGAGGGTTAGCACGAACTGAGGCTTCGGCTTCGCCATGCCCACCGTTGCCGACGCCATGCCAGGGAAATTCTTCTCCGGGCATGTCTCAAGGCAACTCAGGGATGCTAGGTTCCTTTAAGGGTTCCTTGAAGGGTTCCTCTGAAGGCTCCTTTAAGGGTTCCTTTGGAGGCTCCTTTAAGGGTTCCTTTGAGGGTTCTTTTATAAGGATTCCGTAAAGGGTGATTTAAGAGTTAGTTTAAGGGTTCTTTTGAGGGTTCCTTTGATGGATCCATAAGATAACTCGGGGATTACTGATCAGGGTTTTGGGGGAAGTTTGGTTTAGGGTTTAGGGTTTGGGGAAGTTGGGGTTAGGGCTACTTAGGTTGTCCTCCTAAGGCAGCCCAGCGTGTCCAGCGAACCGGGCTACCAGCGCTTCTCCGACCTTCATCGCGGTACCGATGATGATGCCAATGACCACCATGCAGATGCAAGTTCAGCAACTTAGATCCCCAATACCCAATCTTTAAGCTTTTTGGGCTCTTCTAGTCTAGTAGGAATCGGGAAGCTTGAACCTTTTTTTTTTCGTGGCCTATTGGGGGGAGTAAGGCAACCCTTACGCTTCCTGCCTGCTCCATCTCAGCCCCTGCTGCAGATGAGGCCCCTGCAGCCCCTGATGCAGGGCCCGCAACCCGGCCCTGCACCCGTGCAGGTCCCGGGTCCCCCCCAGGCCTTTACGGACCACAGCGCGGTGGCCTCAAAGGCCCCGAATGGGCCCCAGGAGGGCTTAGAGGGCACCTCGCAGACCACAGAATCGGCTATCGATGACGACGACCTCGAGAGCATCAGCGAGCTGAGCACGGAGCCTGGGCCGTAGAGCAGCACCCTTTTGCCCCTGCTATTCCGGTTTATTGCTTAGGGCTTGCATGTTTAATGGTTTTTTTCAAACCGGTGAAAAGGGTGCCACTAAGCATTTTTCCAAACCCGGTGGAAAGGGTGCCGCTAAGGAGTGGGCTCGGGCAGTTTCCTACGGTTCTTCAGTGTGTCCCGTGGAGCGGACGTTCATCCAGTTTCATACTCGCGTAGCTGGACGGCACGCGCGATCGAGGTCCGTCTAGGACCCTCGGGACGTCCCGGCAGCATCTGATCATCCGAGGTCACCTGCGCCACGGAAGTTGTTTTTACAAGGGGTTAGGCTTTCCAGTTTTGTTCTGCATTGCAGCTTTTTCAATCGCATATCAAGACTTGAATTGGCTGCCTTCATACCTTGTGATTGGCGCCAGAATTACAGCATGACAAACTTGTTTAAAGTCCGTTCCGCTGTTCTTTCCGGAAATGGCTAGGCTGCCCGGTGCCAAGAAAAGTCACCAATACAGGGGCCAAAATAACTGGTACTAGCTTAGGGTTCCTCATTGTCGTTATAGTATGATGGACCCCGCAACCCTATTCTAATCATTGAGGCCCCTATATGAAGTGGTTTTGGATGGCCATCCCAATCTCCAGAGAGCTCGCATCGGTCGTCTGAAACGATAAGACCAGATGACCTGGTCTAGGCTTTAGGGTTCAGGGTTCAGGGTGTGGTGGTTAGCGTTTGGTCTTTTGAATTTACCTGGAGGATCATGGGACTTAGTAAGTAAGGTTATGAACCTTATAAATTCGTTTAAGGAACCCTAAAGAACGCCAGGTACTAAGTCCCCGCGATCCTTTAAGTAGGGTTGAGGGTTTGGTGTCTAGGTGTTTAAGAGTTCAGAGCAGGTCCCATACCTCCCTTTTAGCTCCGCATATGGGAGTTTCCGAAAATAGGGGACCCTAATATAGTACCCTAAATAACAGGATCCTGATTATAAGGCCCCCAGAATAAGGTACCCCTATTTTCGGAAACTCCCATATAGATCCCCTTGTAATAGCCCTTAGAGATCCCTTTATGGAGCCTTTTTTAAGGATCCCTCTAAGAAGCACTACTAAGTCTCCAGAGATCCCCAGACCCCTCAATTAAGGAACATACCTTGAACCAGCAAAATAAGGCCCCTACGGTTGATGATATAAATCCTGCATGACCCATAATAAGGAATACACAATAATTCCCATATATTCCTTATTATGGATAATGCAGGATTTATATCATCAACCGTATCATTTGAGGCATCTTCCGTAATTAAGGGATACTGGAGTCCCTTAATACCCTAAACACTGTAGATCCCTTAAAGGAACCCTATAGATCCTCTAGGTATTCCACTACTAAGTTCCCAGAGATCCCAAGACCCCCTTAATTAAGGAATATACCTTGAACCAGACCCTATAGATCCCTTAGATCCCTTAAAGGATCCCTAAGTATTCCCTAATTAAAGGATACTGGGATCTCTGAGTCTTCCGTTTAGGGTTTAGAACGATTTCGGGCTTCGGCTCTGACAAAGGTGGTAGGGTTTGGGGTTTAGGGCGTCTAGGGGTGTAGGGTTTAGGGTTGAGGGTCTAGGTTTAGGGGTCTAGGGGTGATTTTGGGTTTAGGGTCTAGGTTTAGGGTTTAGGGTTTAGGGTCAAGGTTTAGGGGCTTTGGGTGCGGGGTTTAGGTTGCAGGGTTTGCGGTTTTGGGTGTAGCTATCGGAGCCTGGGGTGACCACGACTTTTCACGTTCTTCACCGCAGCAAGCCGGAAGCGGCGAACTGGCAGCTTGCACCATTTCGTTTAAGTCTCTGGGTCATGGAGTAGTGTACTCTTTGTCCGTTTAGGCTTTACTGTAGGGCTTAGGAGCACTGCACCTCTTCTGTTTTGCGTCTTGTCTCCTTGTAGGAACAACTTTGGAATGAAAGCTTAGACAACTATCTCCTACAGTACCTCAGAACCCAGACCCGATATGAAACAGATGGGACACACATTTGGCGACTGGGAGATCTCAGCTTGCAGGACGGCTTCCCGTAATTGTCCTGCGAGCACGGTCCAGCCTTGATCGAACCCTGATCCATCAGCAATAACCCTCCACCCTGCGCCTCAACCCTAAAACCCAAACTCTACACACCCAAAGCCTAAGTCCTAGACCCTCCATTTTCGACCTCGACCCCAGACCTAAACTCTGAGCATGACACCCTGTCCTTCGTCCTAAATCCAAAGCTGAAACTCGTCTTGCGCCATTCGTTTTAGGGTTTAGGGTTCAGGGTTTAGGGTTTAGGGTTCAGGGTTTAGGGTTTAGGGTTTAGGGTTTAGGGTTCAGGGTTTAGGGTTTACGGTTTAGGGTTTAGGGTTCAGGGTTTAGGGTTCAGGGTTTCTCCCAGCGCTGGGTCGTATCCCGCTTTTCTGGTCGCGTCTCTTTGTCTCGTGGAAGCCTCCGAGGACGAAGTTGGAGTTGGCAGAATGGCTGAGAAGTACCTACTTTGTTTAGCGAAATCAACAGAGATTATCACACACCCTAAGCCCTAAACCCTAAACCTCAAACCCTGAACCCCCAAACCCTGAACCCTAACCCCCAAATCCTAAACCCTAAACCCCAAACCTATACCCCAAACCCTAAACCCCTAATCACTCAGCAGTAGCTCTACAGGAACCGGGCCCCTAACCAACAAGTAATCATTACACCCTAAACTTTTTCAGCCCTCCAGTTGATGATATGAGTCCTAGGGTTCCTTTAAAGGGATCTATAAGGGTACCTGTAAGGGATCTATGAGGGCTTAGGGTTTAGGGCTTACGGCTTATGATATGAATCTGCATTACCTTAAGGACCCTAAACTATGGGAATTATGGTATATTCCTTCTTGTGGGTGATGCAGGATTTATATCATCAACCGTAGTGCTGACCCCCAACAGTACCGCAATAGAGACCTGCCAGCTTTCCGTACAAAAGGTAGTAGTAGTTTCGAGGCATAATAGACTCTCTGGTTCTTAGTAGGGAATGGGCTATAGGGACTACTATACCGGACCTTAAGGGGCTGTCATTGGGATCCATTCCCGCATTCCCATAAAACCTCATGGTTCCGTTTCCGGGGTGCTTAGAATACGGACCCCAATATCTAAGGGTCTATTGAAATCCCGGGATGCTTGAAGATAATGTGGTCTCCTGATTATTAAACCCCCCCAAACAAGAAAAAATCCATAATAATGATGGCATGCTTGCGCGTTGGGGTGGAAGTTGTTTTGGGGGGCCGGGGTCAAAGTTGTTTGGGGGCTGGGGCTCTCAGTAGTAGTACACTAGTATAGTATCACAATAGTATGATTAATCGTATAGTACAGTAATACAGTAGTACAGTAGTACACTAATACAGTATTACAGTAGTACAGTACTACAGTAATTAGTACAGTAGTACAGTAGTAATACAGTATTTTAGGACGGGACGGGTTTTAGGACTATTGAGGGGTCTTTATTATTGTGTGCGGGCCGAGTTTAGCTCTATTGAGGGGACCTTTTATTATTGTGTGCCGGGCCGAGTGTTTAGCTCTATTGAGGGGACCTTTAATAATCACGAGCTCACATTACTATGGGAGCAGCAGCACTGTAGTAGCAACTGTGTCCGTACTGGTCGTGGTAGTGGCAGTCGTCGTGGCCATAGAAGCAAGCAGCAGCAGTAGTAGCAGTAGCATTGGCAGCAGCAGTAGCAGCAGTCACTTGTGTTTAAATTGTAGTATTCATACTTTAGTAGTAGTAGTAGTAGTAGTAGTAGTAGTAGCAGTAGTAGTAGTAGTAGTAGTAGTAGTAGTAGTAGTAGTAGTAGCAGTAGCAGTAGCAGTAGCAGTAGCAGTAGCAGTGTAGCAGTAGTAGTAGTAGTAGTAGTAGTAGTAGTAGTAGTAGTAGTAGTAGTAGTAGTAGTAGTAGTAGGAGTAGCCGTCGTCGTCGTGGTAGTTGTAGTGGTAGTAGTGGTAGTAGCGGTAGTAGTGGTAGTAGTGGTAGTAGTGGCAGTAGTGGCAGTAGTAGTGGTAGTGATAGTAGCAGCAGTCGTAGCAGTACCCGCGGCACTCTAAACCCTAACCTTCTACAGCAGTACCCGTTCGTAGAGTAGTGCTTGCCGCCACGCTTGTGCACTCCAAACTACCCTTGCGGGGCTGGTCTGCGAGCTGTCCTGTGCCGATCCACAGCGTGATCGGGATGATCCTGAAAACTAATGTAGACCCATGATCACTGAACCCAGTGTCCTATACGGCCTTCATGATGAAGATCGCCACTGTAACCCGCATCAAGGAGAGAGGGTTCATTCATGGGGGTCTACATTAAAAGTGTAGCTTAACACCGAAAATCCCAAAGCTTAACATCCCAAGCCCTCGACTTTCTCATACCCTAACCCCTGCAGAGGCAGGACAGCGAAAATCACGAGCAGTGAAGACTAAGAAGACTTGCCAAGAGGAGTTTCAACAGAGCTTTGTTTTGGAGGGCAGTGCAGCGAGAATGCTGCCTTAAAGGGTGAGGTTTTAGGAAGGTTGGGTTTTTGGGTTTGCTGTTACTGTTTATACCTCTCCTGTAGATAAATCCTCGAACCCTGTTAGAATTATTCAGGCCCCTACATTAGAGAACCCTTTACAACTTTTTTAGCAGCCCTTATGGAACCTTTTGAAGACCCACTACAGGCACCTATTCGAAACATTAACGGCCCTCTAGTATTGGAAGCTGCACTGCCCCACCAGCACAGTGCCATGGTCGATTCTCGCTATGTACACCTTCTCTAGGAGCTTTCTCTACGACGCTTTAGGGTTCAGGGTATTGGTTGCATCGACCCTTGGATCTGCGGTGAAAACTGTAAGAGGCCGGTAATGGCTGCAGGGTGTAGGGTTCAGGGTTTAGGGTATCGCGGTTAGGGCTGCGGAAAAACACGAGATTCGTCGAGCAAGTCTCCCATAGCATGCTGCGGCAGCATCGTCTCGAGTGACATATGCCAATAGCTTACTACACTGAAGCCAGCT